CGACACAGTTGGCCAATGTCCGTGCGGACCCCATCGATCGACGCATTCGGGCGCAATCAATTTCTATCGGCAATGGCGCGAATGGAGGATCATTATCGGCGTAGGAATGCCCGTGTTCGGGCACACGAAGGGACAGGGACGGGCGGGCCCAACGGTAAACTCTCACTCCTGACGCGATGTGGCGCGTAACGTATAGGGGCCCATACGTTCGTGCTACTGCGATCCGCTACCAGGCTTTCCCTCGCTTGCTACTCCCTCTCTCTTTCTCTCTCCCTTCACGCTCCCCGGGCAGTAATACATTCAGCGGTTGCACACAACCGTGCCGGACTTGTCCCGCCGCTAACTTATCCCCGATACCGTCAGCTGCGTATGTCTGTCAAGTTAATGTCCCTGATCACTACGAACGTATGGACACCGGTCTCGAATGGCGTTACGAAAAATGGGCCGCGACCTGCGTTCCTGAAATGCAGTCGCCCCGACGCAACGGCGTGATTTATCGAGCGGTCGCTGTTTTACGTTGGTCGAGAAGATTAATATTGAAGGAAATGGGCGTGAGTACGATCACGTTGTCCGCGTGGCTGAACGTACGATATTTGTTTAAAGCGATACGACCGCACGTTCAATATGTATAAATCAACGTGAATAAACGACGGAATTAAAACGTCATGCACGAATTGAAGAGTGTGCGAGTTGACCTCCAAGTCACGGAACGGACAGTTCCGTGGGGAGGGAACGTCTTTTTCTAACGAAAGTCAAAGAGTAACAAGCCAACTCTGATAACGATACAAAGACGACGATAGTATCGAACGACCGTAATTTTCTTTCGAAGAGAGAAAGTTCGTCTATCCGAACGTATTTCGCAGAGGTAGCGTCGATTTACTATCTTCCATGCTTGTTAGACTTTTTTTGCGGGCAACACGGCGGAGTGGTGATTCAATTGCGGACGAAGTCGCGGTCGGGGCCACGTACGCGGTCCACCCTCGATTTATTTCACTGGCCCCTCCACCCACAGGGGTGCGGCTAACGTGATGATCGATCAAGGATAGGGGATCGATGGCTCGGTTAAAGGCGTATAGCAGCAGCCGGTTCGTTTCTCGCCCGTCTCTGAGAAATTTAGAAATACTTCGGCCGCCTCACGCGGAAGGGATATAGGGGTGTCGGATGTACCTCGAAGATCTTGAACTTAAGAGCACTCTCGGCGTCGAGTATAAGATGTACATACTCTTTTGCATAACGCTTTATGAATATATTTGCGTCGGTAAATCGGAAAGACGCGGCGCTCGGCTGCACATTGTTTGCATCTAGTTAACGAACGAAGTTGAAAGGTAACATTCAATAATTGTGCCGCGGATTAATATAATTATTATAACATATTAATTTGATATTATATATTAATTAAATATTATGGAATATTTGTTATAGTCACAGTACTTTCAATTAAAATTAATAAATCTCGATTATTTACAACCGCGAATTTCGAAAATTGACAATTAAATCAATACCAAATGAAAATGCTTCCTGGTTCTTTATCTCGCAGAAATATTTCGTTGATAATCGATGAAAAATCAAGCACGATGAACGAATTCGCCGGGGATCCGCCGATTCATTTAGACGATTGTCGTAATAATTGATCGTTTCTCTTAATAGGCACTATCACTCGCAAAGAACGTCGTTGAATTCTCAGGATACCTGCAGTACGTCGTAAAACGAACGACGTTCTGCGTTCTTCCTCTTCGCGGAATGTTCCGAGTATTCGTCCAGTCGTTCAGGGATCTCTCCGAGGAGAGGAAATGAGGTTTCCTTGCTCGTAAGAAAACTGACCAGAGCGGACAATGTCCGTTGACGGGAGTCCCGGGTTGCAGGTACAATTGAGCAACGCGTCGATGGGAACTCCGGAACATTGTGGGATCTTAATTTCGGCATGACATCGTTAGCGTTGCAAAAACGTTCTCACTTGCAGCTAACGACAAACTCCTCGTGTTCTCGTTAACATCGTATCTTAACGATGTGCCCGTACTCTCCCTGACTTCCAAGTGACGAAACCGGGGAAAGTACACGCCCTCTCTCTCTTTCTCTTTCTCTTTCTCTCCCTGGGACCAGTAATTTTGGTCAATGATATTCTGTCAAAAGGCCTGTACAATTTATGCTGAAGAGACGCTTCGAGATAATCGTTAATAAACTTATGAATTTAATATAATTATTTGAATCAGAAAATGCGAATTTGTCTTACGAGAAAGTTAGATTCTTTATTGAAATGGATCTACCTTGAAAACATCGAAAAATACACGAAATAGTGCTTGTTTTAAATTATAAAATTAAGACTCTTTCCACACGGAAGTAACACGGAACGAGCGAAGAGGAAAAAAGCAATTTGGCGAACGCATAAGATTTCGAAACGGGTGTCGTACGAACGATTTCACTTAACGACGCCTTGCGTTGTAAGCTTACAAATTGTGCGCAACGTGGTAAGCCATCGAATGCGGCATGTATGCTGCACGTTATTACGCGAAATAACGCGTCACGCGATAACGATAAAGGAAGATTCCGAGTCTCTTTTCACGACGGGACCGTTAAATCCGCTCGTATTTCGCTCTATCGGGAAGGTTGGACACTCGTCGCTACGTGAGTGGGAATAAACGCTGGCAATGCCGAACAACAAAAGGGTCCCGAGCCTCATGAAACAGTAATAAGCTGTTGCCGCCCTTGCGATACTCGCGCTCACGCTTTTGGTATTCCTGGCGTGGAAATGAAGATCTCTCTCTCTCTCCCCCTCCCTCCCTCCCTCTCTCTCTCTGTGTTGCCGCAGACCGCCCGCTCGCGCAAGTCGGTCAGCAAACGACGGTGGAAGTCTCGAAACTGGTTTGTCAGATAATTTAGATCCACCAATGGGAATCCGAGAAACTTGGAGAATCCCGGCCGACGGACTGTAACGATTCTGTGTACCGCGGACGCGGAGATTCGCCGAGGTGGTATTTCCCGGCAACAAGATTTAATGGAAGGGCGGGAAAGAAGAGCGGAGGGAAGAAACATACTCTCGCCTCCCCGTGTACGTTTTCTGGTATGGTCATTGATTCCTACGAGCACGCGGAACGCGAGACAAAAATTCTGAACACGTTCCTTCGCACGCCTATAGAAGTTAGTCCCCCCCCCCCTCCCTTCTTTTTGAATTAACTTATTTCGAGAGTTGTGCTGAATTGTGCTAGGTTTGTGCTACATTGTGCTAGAATATTAAGACCGTAATATGAAAAATACGTAAAAAATAAAAAAAAAAACATTTTTTAATCAGCCCCTCATTTTTCGTTTTTTTCAATTTTCTTAATTGTGCTAAGTTGTGCTAGGTTGTGCTAACATTACGCTAAAGTTTTACTTTTAAGTAGTGATAACAAAAGAAGTTATAATAAAAAATAATTTTATGCGATTCTACATACAATTAACGTTTACATTTGTATCAGTTATTTTGATAATATAAAATTGCATATTTACATTGTGAACTTAGCATAATTCAGCATAACTCTCGAAATAAGTTAATTCTAAAAGTGAAGGGCTGTAGCTTCATATAGGCGATTTTTTACCTTCACTTAATACTTAAAATAGCCAGCGGAGTTTTAAGAGAAAAGTTACGAGAATATTCTATGGTTTTTCCCCTGACTTTTTTCCTCAACTTACACGCACCTTGAATTATTCAAACGAAGTTGAGTCTCGATGAAAATTCGTGGACGATCGTGACGATGTATTCGACGAATCGCATGACAAATCTAAAAGACTGTGTAGTAAAACTAAATGTGGATTTCCGATATATTATTGAATTGTGACATTTGAAAGACTATTCGCGGTTAAATAAATCTTCATCGATAATCTAAGCGTTTGCTAAGTAATTAAATTTCTACGGTTCTTCTAGATTTCTCTAATAAAGTCATTTCTAATCTTATAATTAGATGTTCCGATTTAATTTAAAGAAATTTTAGTCGTTTGACGAAAACACAAGAATATCGATCGCGCAAATCATTTAAAGCAGTCATTTAAAGCAATTAAATTTTCTTCGCAAATAAAAGATCTGAGAAATAGATAAGTTAATAATATTCTTCTTTTCTATCCTTTGAATTTTTTTTTACTGTGCTGTAATCTGATGTTGTAATTAATAATATTTAATTAATGTTAATTATGAAGAATAGTCAACAGAATCTTTAATTGAGACTAGCAACTTTATGTAAATGAAACATTATTTAAAATTTACTCTGGCAACAAATGAATTGCTGTATTCATCAAGATAGAATAGATAATTTGCTGAATTACGATGTAGATTCTCATGTATCTCTATTAAAGCTAAAATTATTGCTCTGACATTTTCTCTGTTTCAGAATTACGACTCACCGATTATATTGAGACGAACCGGATGACCGATGGGTGGAGTCGTGGATATTTGGCATTCGTAGATACCAGAATCCTTTCGCTGTGGATACCGTATTCTGAGGATCCATTCCTCTGTATGGTGTTGGTGCATCGCCTCGAAACGTTGATCGCTCGTGTAAGTATAACTGCCGACTGTCAGCAAGTGAATGTCACGATGTCTCACCCATGAAACCTAAGACAAACAATCAAATATCGATTTATGTACGCTTTATTAGAATTTTTAATTCGCGACTATTGCACGATGAAATTTAATTTCGTTCCTTCATATCGGGTATTTTATTAATATTCCCGTTTATAATATAAATATTGCGAAAATTTGAACGTCTATAAAAAAAAAGGAACGTGTTTTAAACTCACCGTTCTGTTCCCGAGATTCTTCACTCTGCACGCCAGTTGAACAGTTTCACCGGCTAAGCCAGTGATATTGGACGGCACTGTGGTGTCGAAGAACGGATCAAGCTCCGATATTGTGCGTTCTTGAAAGGTATCCGCCTTGAAGACATGCGATTCGAACGCGGTGCTCTCTGAAAAAACTATTCCCATTATCTCTGTTAACAAAGACATTCTTTGATTCTTGCAAAAATTAATCATATATTTTATTATAATAATTATAATGATAATTATTTTGTATAATAAACACGGAAATATCATGCGAATATGGTCATGATTTAGTAGCTAAAGCAATTGGCGACGATAATAAGAGTATGACGTATTTATTGAATATTTGAATATCATAAACCATTAAAAATATTTTTATCGAAATATTTCTTTTCATCCATATCATCGTTTCGTCGTTTAACGGCATATACGATCTGCGCCGAGCGATGAAAGAGAAAATTGATTTAGATTGAGCAGTGCAAGAAGTATATGCACTCGACCGTTTATCTCGGTAATTTTAAATAGAGAAACACGACGAGACGGAGCGAGCGGTACGTCAGATCTATGCGAACGGCCTCGTGCAGGCAACGAAGCTTCGAAAGTACCACCGTCGAATAGGTCGTACATATCCTGCCCCGCACTGCGGCAAATGCAATCTCGTCCGGGGGTATATCTCTCGTGTTCGCAGATCGTGAGAGAGCGCGATGTACCGCGGAGACTCATACATGCACGGTGCGGAAAAGCGAAGTCATGTCTATTTGCATGGAAGACGTTAGTGACTTGCCGCGCCGTGTGATTATCATTCAAATCGCGATTTTCCCCGGTGGAAATAGTTCGATGTAGTATTGCGAACCGATCGAAATCGCCTGGATTTGCACCTTAAAGTAGACTCTCGACTAACTTCGATAAGAATCGTATACTGGCAGGTCCTTTCAACCTGCCGGCTCCAAAATTCACGCTCTTATAATCCATGATAAGAGAATTAACGAAATTGCAAACTCATTGAATTGATATCGCCTCGATATTAATTAGTTTTTATTGGTTCAACTTTTTTTCACTCATATCACAAGTACGGTTATACTGCATTAAAATTTAGCGAGCTAATTGGGAGTGTGTTAAACTGAGAAACTCAGTATTTAACTGGATTTTACTTTTTGTCATGCTAAACCAATTTACAACTCTGCAATCGAATGTGAGACGTTCAAATTAAGAAACGCTATTTATTATTAAGATAACTTTTTGTCCAACGAATTTACTTAAGGATCGACGGGGAGGGGTTTATTTCCAAACCATTTTTCATTGCGTCGCTATCCCATTACCGCGATACACTTTAAATATACCAGTAGGAGCAGACGTTCCTCGTTCGCTCGCGTGCTTGTGCGCGGCGAAACAATCTTTTTTCCTCGGCAACAGCAACAGTTTAATCGGCGCGGTGTCTCGTACTTTAATGCAATATACGTTGCGCGAAGCTGTTAAACCGTTAATAAACGATACGGTCGGTTGGAAGCAACGGTCTTTCTCCTGTCGGCGCGAACACCGCGCCCGACTTTGATAAAGTGATAACGATTCCACGGTCTGTATCCTTTAGGTCGTAGACCGGAGGGAGGGATAGAGAAACGGGATGAGTTTTGCGAGATGAAAGGCCGGACTGAACAAGAGAGGCCGAAACGGAGCACCCTCGCCTAAGCTATTTACTATAATAAGCCTGGTGAGAGACCCTCAAGAGAGAGAGAGGGTCCTGTGAAACTCGCAAATTAACCCCTTCCATTTCTAAGTTGCCTGGCAAAAGCCAGGGTTTAGCAACCAGTTAAATTATTAGTATTCCTCTTCGCCGTTTCGGGATGCTATCAAAGTATTTTCGCTTGTATATACCCTTCCGAAGTAATAGAGCCTTCCCGTGCCCCTGTCAGCTGTTGAAGATCATCTTTTATAAGCAGAAAATACGTGGCACAGCACAAGAGATAACCGTTATTTTTAGTTCGCCTCGCAATCAGAGACGCAGTCTCAATGATCTATTCGCGTGAACACGGAACATCCTCGATAAGAATATATTTCTTCAGAAATCCCTCAGGACATTAAACAATAGAAAGAAAGAAAACTCGACGAGGGAAAGGTCTTACCTCGCGCGCGAATGTACAAAGGGGAAAGATCGTGATCAAAAGCAACATCGGTTTCGAAGCTCGGCCGTGAGAGCTTCACGCTTAAAGCAATCCCGTTTCCATGTTGTACATATAAAATGTCGTTAGCATAGATGAGTTCCTCTCCGTGCAGGTGGATTGTTGCGGCGCGGCGTAAAACTGGCGCGATGATAACGGCGTTCCTGCGGAAAACGTGTTCTGAAAGGTATGCTCTAATGCCTCCATTAAACGAATTCATTGGACAAGTGCACGAGAGCCTCGCTCCCGTGGACCGAGCTCGTTATAACGGCTGCCCATGCTCGCGTATGGATCGACGCCGGTCATCGGGAATACGAACGACAAAAATGCTACTGCCGCATATCGTTCTCGGGATATTACAAAAAAAAAATCCCCCTGTCCGTAGGTTCTTCGTTGTACTTTCATGTACGCCGTTTTATTGCGATCGGAATATTCTCACTTTTGTAGCATCGACGTTAATTACGATCATTAATTCGATAGTTGGAAATGGCGATATGCGACATACAATATGCATGCGATTCGCAAATATGTACATAACGCTCTATATAATGCGTAATACGCAATTTGCGGAAACTTTCTAATAGCAAACATCGTAGCGTACGTATAAACAGTTGCCCTTTAAAATATATTTCGATACTGGCGTAAATAAAGCATAAAAATGGAACAAAAACAATTTTTCTCGATTTTTACTCTTTCAGAAAAATTCAGGTTTTAACAAAGACCGCCTTATCTTCATATTAATACATATTTCGGAAAAGACATTAATTTTCCATCATGTTTCCTCGGCTTTTCTAAGATTAATATTGGAGCTGTGCCAACGGGCGCGCAAGATAAAATCTCAGAACTGCGATCCAATTTTTTCTATGAATATGCAAATGTTTCGCTCGTGCTGTCGTGTGACAAGTCATTTCGAATCTAGAAATTCATCTCGCTGCTTTGACAGCGGTAAAAGTCAACGCGCGACAGACTGTTAGTTCGGAAACACGACAAGCTGTTTGCGCCACGAGAGACTGTCGGAAATCTTGTTTTACCCGAAACTCCGGTCATTAAACACGCGATAATTCAAGCGGATAATGCACTCGCGCGGCAATACCGCCGACTGCAATTCCACGCGTGTTGGAGCGGCTCTTTCGCTGCTGCCGCCACCGCCGTCGCCTCCGACCCGGCAAGAAGAAGCCGCCGGAATAATTCACCAAGCGCTCTCCACCTCGTGAAGTGTAATGTAGAATAATGTTTTACACCATTGCGGCTCGCCCACGTGCCGAGTCCGGGACGCGGGAATAAAATGAATTTTGCAGCGTAAGGACGCTCGCGCACTTCATCCATCACGCTGCCTTTTTTGCCTCGGAAAAATAACGTAACGCCAATACGGCTACGTGCATTGCGTGTGGAAACGCACGATATATTAATAACGGCATAATCAACACAAACATTTGCGTGTCGTTGATAAAAATTAGAATTAATTTTTCAAGCATTTTAAAGCTCTTCATGCGAATCGTGCGATTGTATAAACGCAAGAAAAAAAAACAAAATTTAAAAGTAACTCAAAAAAACATTCATAGAATTCAGTTCGAGCGAAATAATCATAACGTATGTACGAATATGTCATCGCTGATGAAAATTTTACAATGAAAACGGATTCGGGGGAAAAATATCTGCTTGTTATTTCGCATTTATATTATAAACGTTATGGAAGCTTTTTGAAATTATTATATCTTAATCGCTTTTTATTGATTATACGTACGTTATAAATTCGTGACAGATGTAATCAACGTAGCAATATACATCTCGAGTGGAGAGTGTATATATATACACACACACACACACACACACATATTATGCAACGGATAATGGCACCGATAAAGACCATGTACCACGGGGCCGAAACGTGAAGCAAATATCGATCAGCGCGCAAGAACGCCCGACGATTTTCCACACGCCCGACACCGTATATTCTCTTTCTTATGTCTTCGCGTACTTCATCGCTTTTCCATCGATATCGACGCCTTCCTTTTTCTTTTTGCCCGTACTCGTTCCGCATTACGCCCGACCGCGACGTGAGCGAAACTTTCAAAACCGCGAGTTAACTCTTTCGAGACAGTTCTACCCCAGCGGCATTGCGCCTCCCCCCCCCCCTCCTCGCAAGATATTAAGTTACTTTTTGTTTGTTTGTCGTAAACTCGAAAAAAAATGCGCAGAATAAAACTTTCACGATTTCTACATCGCTGCACAATTTCCTATATCTACATGTATTATTTTCATGATGAAGTTTTAAAGTTTCGTCATTAGGCTGAATCGCTTTATGTCTCTGAAAACGTGTCATAAAAACGTATTCTCATAAAGTTTTTCATTCTGCTTGATGGAATATACAAGATGCTTCAGATTAATTATGCTACGTTTAATAATAAACAGAAGCGCATTTACTATGCGGATATGACGGCAACAGGCCAATATTTTCTTATCAGCATCGTTTAATACGGTATATGACTTACGGTATTAATGACTTATAAAAACCTAAATTTTTCTTTAATTAGTTTCAGTTAAATTTTGCCTAAACAATAATTTAACTTCAGACTTGCTAACATATCATAATGTTGTATTTAGTGATATAATGTTTGTATATGATATCATCTTTCTATCAGAAAAAAATTGAGAAAAATAATAATCGGATACGTTTTTTGATTCGGGAAGAATCATCTCAAATTGATCAGAGAATCACATTTATCTGGGGCATCTTACGTGCGCACTACTCTTGCCGTGTAAATGTTCGAAGTTACGCGAGCGAAATGAAATTATTTCATAACCCGTTCTTCCGTGGTGTCTTTTATCATAACTATATCCTGCCTCGCCGAGTATTCCCTGGTGACTCTCTCTGGGCACTGCCCTTTTCCTCGTAAAACTAGGTTAAATCCAAACGGCCGCGCACGCGTTTGGCTAGTAGGATTTAAAAAAAACAAAGAAACCGAGTAGAAACGCAACGTAATCGGCGCATCTGCATG